GTTTATAATTTATTGATTTTTGTTTTATTTCATATATTTATTAAATGGAATATTTATTAATGTTTTATTAATTACAGTATTTGTTATTTTTTATTTATTTCAATTTGAACGAAACGGCTCTCCACGGTCAGGGAGTGACACACGTGCGGTTACCATGGTGAGCCTCTCCTTTCTTTATGCATCGAAATGTCCTCCGTTTTATCAGCTGAGTTTAATTATACAGGAAGTAGAATCTGTTTTATTTAGTAAAGAATCTGATTAAAGTGAAGTTTCTGCACTTTTATTTGTTTTTTTTCCAGATGTGCAACAGAGTGGCTCATTAACTCTCAGATCCACCTTAAAAGAGAGAGAGAGAGAGAGAGAGAGAGAGAGAGAGAGAGAGAGAGAGAGAGAGAGAGAGACGCAGGGGTGATCCCGGACTGGCCCCGCCCTCTCCTGTCGCACGCGCTCACTCTCGCCGCTGTGGTCTCGAGGGCACAGGCCGCTGGTCCGACCGTCGGGGGTCAGTTTTTTTTTTTTAACCCAGTACCCGGACAGGACCGAGTACCGACCGCCAACTGGACCGAGAGAGCGAGAGAGAAAGAGGGAGGGAGAGAAAGAGAGAGAGAGAGAAAGAAAGGGTGAGTTCATCTTCTTCTTTTCTTCCCCTGAAGGATTCATTTCTGAACCTGCTGGCGTGGTTCCGACCAGCCCAACAAACTGATGCCTCCGCGGACATAATTCACTGTCGAAGAACCTGGTCGAGCAGAAACAACTTGCCCCCCCACTTTACACCCCTCCTGTCAGCGGGTTTGTTTTTTCTTTCACCCCCCCACCTCCCTGCAGTTCGTCAGGTCGTAGTCGGAGCCTGTTGGGACATAAATGGACGAGTCTCTGTAAGGAAAACCAAGAGGAAAAAAAAAAGGTAACCGTCTAATATCTGGATCGCTAAACTTTCCTCCGCTCGCTTCTTCTCTTCACTTGTGGCTTTAAAAGCTATCAGGAAGCAGAGATTTGAACGGCTTCAGACCGGGAAGGAAGCGGAGCTTTTACCGTGTTTTTAACGGCTCGTTCGACCCGGTTCTGCTCGCGTTCACTTGTTGTGGCTTGTAACCGAACCGGGGCGGTGTAGGTGGGGGGTGAACGTGTTTTTAAACCCCTCCTGTCCGCAGCGGGTACCGTCTGACCGGGACACCGTTTTCACCTTTACACCCACCGACACGTCCGCGGGGTTTATCCACAGGTGTGCCCGCGCGCTCAGTCCGGTCCTTCCGGTGAGGAGACGTGATGAACCTCAGCTACATGATGTGCTTTTTCTGTTTTTATTTTTAATTATTATTTTATTTATTTGGAACCGTTTTGTCTCGTGCGGCTTCTCTGATCTCCGCAGTCGCGCGCCGACACACACACACACACACACACACACACACACACACACACGGAGCCCTGCAGAGGTTTCAAAATAAATAAAACCCAAATAAATAAAAATAAACCCAGATAAAGAGCGTGATTTGACTCGGGTTTAACTTTGTTGGGTTTATTGGGACCCCTGCCCGGGGTGGGGGTCTGCTGGTAAAGTTGATCTGTCACTGGATGTAGATGATGATGATGATGGTGGTGATGATGATGAGGAGGAGGAGGGCTGAGAAAATGGCTGTGTGGAGAACGGGTCTCCCCGGGCGACAGAACCCAGACCCGGCTGCGCATTTTTCCGTGTCTGGAAACGGTTTGCCCTCCGCCTTGTTTTCTTTTCCGAATAAAAGCCCCCCACCCCAGAAGGAGGCTGTTCCACCAGACATCGTTTATTTCCAGCTGTTGTGATGAAGATCTCCTGGTTGAGTTCTGCCGGCAGCACCGGGGGTGGAAAAATCGTTACCGAGTGCGTTTCATTGTAATTACCGGGAGTGCGGCGCATGAAGAACCGTCCTGACGTCATCAGCTAGGATGGGTGGACGAGGCTCTGCCCCCCCCCCCCTCCTGGCTGGGTGTGTCCTGCCTTATTGCGTGAGGAAGGAGGGGGATCCCGCATCTCCTGACTCCTCCTCAGCTTTTGACCTCCAAAGGAGGGCATTGCCTCTCCGTGTGCTGCTGGGTCTGAGCAGAGGAGAAGCTCCCTGCAGAGAGACTGAGACAAGCTTGTGAATGAGATGAGGGGGCTCGGTGGTCCGGCTGTTTGATGGAGCCTGAGTGGAAAATGGCTGGTTTAGCTCAGGTGTGGTTGTGTTGTTACACAACACCAAGTCTCTTTCACCTGTTCTCACCTTTGCTTTATTTGATTTAAACTCTGATTTGCAGATCAGATGTCAGAAGTGACCCGTCACATGGAACTGAGGATTAGTAAAACAGGCAGCTATAGTGCATTAACATAATTATCACAATAATGATTAATGTCACCATTAAATTGCCTGTGACTTCATGTTTTTGTAATAAAAAGGAACAAATTTGTGACCCATAGTATCGAAATGAGGATTAAGTCAAATTTGGTCAAAATGACCTAATTACATTTTCAGATTCTTGTCTTTAAAAGCTACATTTTGATACCTGGATCATCCTGATATCATAATTAAATCCATATATATGACTTAATTTGTCATGTTGGTTACGATAATACATTATTGTTTGGTCTGAATCCTAATTTTATGTAAATTTATTG